ATACATGTAATTTATGACATTGATTCTTCAACGATATTAGGATAATTACTCATTAAAAGCTACAAAACATTACAAAATATTTATGTGTCTTTTTAATTTGAAGCCTTCCCAGACATTTTGGCTAATTTATATCGATTTCCTTCTCTTTAAGCATATTTTTAAACAATTGGAAATTTGTCTCAATAAGCAAAAAAATGTCCTCTACTAGTTTCTGTGTGTTTCATCTTCTAACCTGTCAACCTCTCCACAATGTACCTATGAGGTTTTATTTGATCTGGTAAAAGTTATATAGTCCAAAGGCCCTCGACAGATGTGAAGCAAATTAACGCTATGTCTGAAAGTAACTACAAAGTCGGAGAAAGTTTTAAATAAGATTCTTATTTAAAAAGAACTTAAAACATAAAGGCATGTTCTTATGCTAACAATATCAATTACAGGCCGTGGTGATGTAATTCAACAAGAAAAGTCAAATTCAAACTAAAAATATGGACTAGTGGTCAGACTATTCAACTTAATTTCATTTTAAGCTGGTTCAGTAACTCTATCATCATAACAAATTCAAATATCGGCAGCGGTAAAGCAAAGACGAATAATTACAAATTATCAGAGCTGGCAGAAACTAATGCAGGGAGCAAGTGGAGATCAGAAACATAATCATGTCTTACACTCCAGAAACCTCAGTTTAAAAACTGTCTAAGTGATTTGCATTCTGGTGATAAAATAGAAATGGGAAATTATAGCAAAGGCTGAAATGGTAAACAACTGGGTAATTTACATAATAATAACGATACATATCTTTGAAGAATAATTTTCTTTCTTATTATATGTATTCAGTTTCATTCTTCCACATTTCCTTCTCATTTTAGAATATTTGGATTTAATTAAAGATTTCTGTTATTTTAAACAAACTAAATGCTAAATGCATTTAGAATGTATAGAAAAAGCTGCTGATTTTATTTCTTTACTAATATGAACATTCAGAAGAGATATAATATATATATTATAAGGTCCGGTTACAGAGCTAATGTAGCATAATTTTTAGAATTTAGTGACACACCAAGCAAGAAAATCTAGAAATGGCAAAACTTTTAGAATTTAGAACAGGCACTGGAAGCAGAAAGGCACTGTAATCAGAATTCAGAAAGGCACCAGACAGCAGAATTTGAGATGTACAGAGATTGCATCAGGTGGGAAAATGCCTAACGCCAGCCCCGTGTATGATGCATTAACAGTTTCCAATTTCTTTAAGGCATTATAAAAAGGAATAAAAAAATTCCTTTCTATAATGCTTATCCATATGATAAGATTGGAATCACTTTTGATATTTTCAATGCCTGTGTCTAATGAAAAGTAGAGAAAATAAAGGGAAGATTAAAAATGTTAAGAGAAAGATTCTAGTATCAGAAGTAAAATGTTCAACTATAATGTTTTTATTGTTCTTCCAGACATTCTAAAAAAAGTAATAAATTATGTGTTTAATGCCATGGAAACATTTTCATTTTGTCACATTTTTCTGGAATCTTCTAGAATCGTGAATCTATAAATCTTGCCTCCATATCTTTTTTGTCATTCCAAGCTGCAATGTCTAAAATCCTAAAGAAAAATTATCCCTACATATTCTGTAACAGCATAAAGCCAGAAATATTTAAAAAAAAAAAAAAAATTTAAGAGGGCAAAAAGTGTAAAATTAATTTTATATAGTAAACCTGGGCTTAATTTCTAAAACTAGATGTGCCAGAGCCCTGTGGAACACCGTCAGGAAAGAGGAACAAAAATAAATAAATAAATAAAATAAATAAAAGTTGAATGTTAAAATTTAACAAAATATGAAGAGGTTAAATTAAAATTTAATAATCGATTTTTAATATAATTTTATTACTAAAAATAAAATTTTTGAGACCAAATTTCTAATGAAATTTTGTTCCAAGTACATAAAAGAAGTGTCACAGCTTTCTTATTTAGGGCTCAAGGTAGAATTATGATTTATCTGCAAAACTAACAAATAACGGAGCAGATCTCCAGTGGGCATGGGCACAATTTAAGATCTGGAGAAAACTGATGCATTTTCCAAAAATTCTGACTTAATTACATGGGAAAAACTCTAACCACGAAAAAATTAAAAATACATTTTTAATTAATTACATAGCTATTTTGCTTTTGCTAAGAACTGTTTCGTAAATGGAGCTTTATAGCAATATAACCTTCCTTATTTTTCACATTCAAAATATTGTATTATAAGTAGCTGAAATGGAACTTTATATTATAACAGCAAAAAATAAAGCGCTTTATTCTAATGTTATTTCTTAAATATAATTTTAAAAAATATCTTTATGTAAATGAAATTTATCAATGTTCTAAAATAAACATCAGAAAATTCCCAGATCTTGGAATAAAAAATTTTCTTTAAAAACTGATTTTAAAATCACCAAAATTTTGATAAGTTGTCAAATTTATAACCTTTTATTAAAAGAATTCACATTCCCAAAAGCAAAACGTTGTTTAAGAGCTCTTCATTAGAAAAAATGAAATAATTTCGAAATGCTTATGTTTCACTTCTTGCTCAGAAACTCAAATATACAACCATTTATATTAGAAATAGGAACAAATTATAACCCATGAACCCATTCAAAAGATAACCATATTTGTCAGTGAATCGCCAAAAATATTCCTCCAAAATGTTAATCCATACTCAAAATGGCAGTTGTAAAAACAGACAGAAATTTCAAATGATTAAAATTAAGGACCTTGTGCCAATTTTGTCCAAAATTAAGGACTTTTAAGGACCAAAAATCGATTCCAAAAAACTTAAGGTCTCTTAAGGGCCGTACGAACCCTGTTTTTATGGAAAAATTATATATATAATATATATATATATATATGTTGCCTTCAACTCAATTTTAAAATAATGTTTGCTTAATTTGGTAACAATGGAAGAAACCTAGACAAAATTTTTGAAACAATTTAGTAATTTGTTACAAAACCACTGAGGGGAAGAATGGTAAGATGCACTTGGTAGCTAGATGGTGCACAATGCTGATTCTGTGCAACTTTTTCAGGATTTTTTAAGAGAAAACAGATTGCTGTGTAGAAAGGGAGAAGAACAGTGCTAAAATGTTAGTGCAGGATTTCACAAAAATGTGTTGAAGTGTTTAAAAAAAAAATCTGATGTGTACACCACACGACTTCCATGTACGGAATATTAAATTATACGCATTTTTTCTTGCATTTCATTTAAACTTATTGGATTGAATTAAATCTACTTCGCCGACAGCGTATAAACCACAATAGAATAAATGCATTCTTTAAAATTCACTCTAGTATTTGTTTACCATAACGACACTCTGGTGCTAGATTCACTTAACAGTACTAATAATTATATAACAGTTAACTTATATAATAATTATATAACGGAAACTAAGTTAACTGTTATATAATCCAATAATTATATAACAGTCAAATACTATAATAAAGCTAGAATGATGTATAAAAGAAATTAAGCAAACAAAACAAAAAAAAAGTTTTTCACAGATGATTGAGTATTTCTCATTTAATTAATTCAGTTCTCACTTCGCGAGAAGGCAAAAATACATAAAAACTCAAAATATCTATATTAAAAATTACGAAGTAAATCTTAAACACTTATTTCCTCGAAAAAATTCCAGAAAGAATTAAGCATGATTTAATTGGCAATAATAAATGCATGTGTTATCTTTGTTGTTGCGAAGCTAAGTTTCTCTAGATTGGCAACAAATCCACTAGTCTCTTGTTTCAAATGTAAACATCAATGGCCGCCATTAAAAAAAGGCTTAGCGGCACTTAGACAACTTTAAAATTGTTGATAATTCTAAAAATATTGCATACAGATTTACTAAAGGCATAAAAACTTTAACCGGAAGATAAAAACAACATAATTCAATCATTTTTAAAGCAAAAAATGTACCATTTACAAACATATAAGAGTAAAGAAGAGATCACTGAGCCGGGTAACAGAGCAGATATATATATAAATATATTTATATACGTTTGGTGCGGCCGACTGCAACCAAAATACGAGGTGCACATCTACATGTTATAGCAGTCCTATATACAAAATTTCAACGTCCTGATGGCTACTCGTTTTTGAGTTATGCGAGATACGTACGTACATACCGTCGTACAGAAGCCACAAAAAATTCTCTTCAGAATTAATTTTAAAGCAGTTTTATAATTTTTTATGATAATGATATATGATATAATTCTATTTAAAGCAGTTTTTATTTATATTTAAGAGCAGATATATATATAAATATATTTATATACGTTTGGTGCGGCCGACTGCAACCAAAATACGAGGTGCACATCTACATGTTATAGCAGTCCTATATACAAAATTTCAACGTCCTGAGGCTACTCGTTTTTGAGTTATGCGAGATACGTACGTACATACTGTCGTACAGAAGCCACAAAAAATTCTCTTCAGAATTAATTTTAAAGCAGTTTTATAATTTTTTTTGAAGGAAAAGAGTATTTTATTCTGTCCTTACATACAGATATCAAGCAAAAGCATCGTTAAAATGCATTCGATAGCGGTCAAAATGGATATTTTCGTTGAAATATGCTGCCTGAAACTTTTTGCGATTACAATACTTCCTTTTTACTTCGTACAAGGAAGTAAAAAGGGTCGAAAAAAATCACCAAATCGTGCTGAGATGGTTGCATAAATATAAAAGTATCAAAAATCAGAGACCTGAATAAGCATGATAAATGATAGCATTATCATTCGACATAAATAGCAACATAAGAATATTTTCATCCAAAAACAATCATGCCCATGGTTTTATATTAATAATTCAAAAGAACTCTAAAATAACATAGAACTTTTATCTCCCCTCATTAATCGCTCAATAGAATGGTTTTGTTCACAAGGTGAGTGAGTGCAAAAGTAAAACCACCAAATACAGAAGGCAAAACTTGGAATTCTTCCATTTTAGATCATATTGACTTCATAAAATGCATATTACTCTTGCTGCAGCTATTCATTCAGATTGAGTCTTCAAAGATGATAAATTAATAATCAGCTGCTCTTGCTTCCAAATCATCCCTTTCCTCCTAAGTAATAATAATAATAAATTCTGTTTAGCAACAATTTTCACAAATATTACGATTAGCAAATAAAAAATGAGTCAAAGGCTATCATAGTAAAATTTAAGAGACAGGACACAATAAGAATTGCACAATAACAGTCATAATTAAGGATGAATCTGCAAAAGTGCGCAAAACTTTAAGGGTGATAGAACGAAGCTATATGAGCAATTATTTGTCATAGAATGTATGGTCAGAACGCAAGCGGTGAGAAGTTAAAAGGCATTTTTCCAGTGACACATTTAAAGAATTAATACAAGAATGAGAAAGACTACTTCAGAGAACATTTTATTAACAGGAATGTAATTGATGTATATGCTCAAAGACACTGCTCAAAAGACCTTCCACTAGCTGTGATGCAGGCTTCACACCTTCAAGATAGGGTTGACGCACATTTGTGAAGACACCGCGCATTTCCTGACTATTGGTGGCAATAACGGCGATCCTGGTGACTAGATCCCTTTTGGTTTCAACGAGGCACTCATAGATTAGGCTTTTCATATAACCTGACTTGAAAAAGTCCAAACACGAAAGATCCAGTGATCTTGGTGGGTAAGTTATGAAGTCACCTCAACTAATCCGTCAGCCTAGGAACTTTACATCTAAAGTGTTCCGCACATAAAAGCTGAAGTGTGCAGATGCACAGTCATGCTGGAATCAGTGCCTCGTGGATTATTTAAGTGGCTCGTGGATTACAGATCGTAGATTATTTAAACAGAGGTTCAAAAAAACAAATTTCGAAAATTAAATATGCAAATACGTCGTAATATACAAACTAAAATACATTTGCGTTTTCACAAGTTAAAGGAAAAGAAAGCAACTCAAAGGAAATAGCTCTCATAGGTAAAAAAATTGTAATATTTTATTTCTGATGATGGAATACAATAAAACCATAATATTGCTTACAATATACCTTTGAATGATGATGACAAGATAGTTAAGTACAAGTTTTGTAAATTAAATACACTTATCTGTCTTCTTTTGAGGAAAATAAATCAAACGATTTTGTCGAATTTAGGTAGGTCATTTATCACCCTTTTTTGAATTGAGAGCATGGCTAGAGTGCTTAGTCTGTCCTTGCTCAAAGTGACTTTAAAAGTGTCTTAACTCATATTAGAGCTGAGAAGACTCTCTCTGCTTCAGCAGTGGTCATTGGAATAGTAACAACAATTAGCAACAGTTTGTAGGTCTCCAAAAAGCCTTTAAGTTGTTTTCTATAATAAATTGTAGAAAATTAATGGCACCAAACATATGTCAGAAATCCGACCTTCTGTAAATTACTTCCGGTTCAGCTATCAAACAATCTTTCTGTAACATGGAATAAACATCAGTTGTTTGGTCAAGAATCTGAGTTGGAAACTTTTTCTCATACTCTGGAGCTTCAAGGACAGAAATAGCAGAGTACAGTTCTGTTTATATAAATGTTTTTTCTCTTACTTTTTCTTGACGTTTCATGCTTCCGATATCTCATTTTTCACCACATCCATTCTCTTCTTTCTCCAATTTTTCTGGAAAACAGTTGTTTCCTTTCTAATGAGTGCCACACAGTTAGGGTTTTCTGAAGCTGGTTGCATAAGACATCAACATGCTGCATAATACTGTAAAACTCAGTATACCAAAACCAAGTCTTCTAACATACAGCAGATAAACCCTGCCTGATTTACTACCACGGCTTGTTTATATATTGACTCTATTTTCTCCATGCATTCAATCAACTGTTCCTTATATTCATACAATGCATTGATGGTTTAATTCTTAAAATTCTATCTAGTAGCTGGACCATGAGGTATCATTTTTCTAACAGTTTCATTTAGAATAGCAGTTCTTTGTGGAAAGTTCTTGAAAAAGTTAGTAACATCACTCAAGTTGGAAAAAATACTCAAACTTGATGATTCTGACTGGTACTGGCCCAACAATCAAATTGACCTGATGAGCGTAGCAGTGCATAAAATGTTCATTCTTGTAGGTACGTTGGAAAAAAAAAAAAACTTGAAATCAGTGTAATGACCACTCTTTGCACTTGCACCATCATAGCTTTATGATATTAATTTCTTGGGTTTGTCTATTGCTTTTTCCAAACTTGCTTGGATATGTTCAGCTAATGAATAAGATATAGATTCTGCATCATGCTTGAATTCATGAATTCCCAAAATCTCTCAATGGTCATCCTTTATTTAAAAATGTATCAAAAACAACAACCAATTGGAAAGTAGATGAAACATCAGCAATTTTATCTGCTATCGATGAAACAAAACTTGCTTTTGAGATCTCGTTTATTGTGTGGTTCTTACAAACAGTGAGCACGCAGTTTAATAAATCTCGTCACAAGGTGTTGGCCAGTAATTTCATTTAAACTCTTCTTTCCAAAGATGTAATTGCTTTAGTTTGACACACTAATTTTACAAAGTGCTATCTTAACTGTTTGCAATAGTTCATAAAAAAATGTGTATATAAAATGATAATAAAAAAATAGCCAAAAAAATTGGAAAAATGAATTAACTAATAATTATAAGCATAGCAAACCACGGGAGAATTCAGATGAGATAACTGCAAACAATGCAAACTTCCCCACATTAAAGATGTGTGAATGGAATGGTATCAGCAGCTTCTTTCCCCTTCTGCTCCTCTGATCACGTGCATAAATTGGTTTTCAAGGGCATTTCTTCGATCACACTTACGACCAAGGAAAAAAACCAAATGCTGTGTGCTATAGTAACCTACATTGCAGGACGTTAGCTACATATTATCACATTTAAAAAAAGGATGGAGGGCTCATCCTGGAAATTGTCAAAAATGTGGAAGAGCATTTAATATTATTTTATTTGTTAATAATTTCTTTTCCATTTTTCTATGGGGGTTCACATGTTCATATGCGCAAACAGAAAAGCCACCACTGGCTGGAATCATATTTTTGACCTGATGGGGATTGGAATCAGATGTTGCAACTATCGCAGCACCAATTGTAGAACCAACCACAGAGATGTGTGATATGATTCGCCATTCAGACAGTGTGGTAACCAAATGGTCATGGAAAATCCCTACCCAACCATTTACAGAGAACCTGGAAATGGAACAAATGAGGACATGTGGTGTGCTGATTCATAGATGCGCATGTGTGCGAGTTGTGGATATTAAAAATATCCTCATGGTTGAAAGTACACTCCAGCCATCCTTTCGAGAATCCGCAGGTGCAAAGTCTGACCCTTTTTATACCATTTACAATGCCACTTAATGACTCGCCATTTGCATTCCGTCCAAACTTTCTAGACGAATATTGCTTGTATAGCTGCATTCTATCACCCCACAAAATTTTACTCACTTTTTCAGATTCATCTTGTATAAGGAAAATGATAAACATACACATGTTGTGCTAAAAGCAACAAATTATCAAAAAGAAAAAATAATAAATTACTGTATGTGCTATTCAAGCACTATCTGCACATGCAAATCAAACAACAAACAGAATGGAAAATAAACATCACAGTGTAGTGAGTTATTTAATGATGGAAATACTCTAAACATTTTAGTATCCTACACTCCTTCTGTCAGCAGATGAGGCATAACAATGAAAATATAAAGTATTAAAATTTAAAATCTACAGATGAAGAAGAAGAAGGAATGCAACAGATATCAAATCAGTTGGCTTGGTTTTAAACCAGATATTCAGTTATCTAGTTATCAGATGTGAAACTTATTTTACTCAAATTCTATATAAAATAATAAGAAATACTTTTATAACATACTGAACATATTAGAAGTCACTAAATATTTGTAAACAGCAGTAAAGCAGAAATCACAATAATTTGAATCATTCAATAATTAAAAATCTTCATGCAATGCTTTCAATATTGATGTACATGATTTATGATTTATCACTTGGTGCCTTTGGTATTATTTGGTTTTGGTTTCTGGTGCAGATAAATCAGATATCTAAGATGCCTGTATCAGTACAATATTTTTAAAATAAATCAATTTTAAATTCAAAATTTAATTAATTGATCACATAAGGGAATTATTGTTTTTTACAGCAATAGTAGTTACTTATTATCACTGAAAATAATTATGATGGTAGTTAAAAAGGACCTTAATTTTTATTACCACATGGAACAGAAAGAAGAAACATATCTTGTAGTCAATATAAAAGAAAAAGTTAAAGAACAAATAACAAGGAAGAAAGCTAATGGTGTGAAGGAATTCTTAGTATTCTGTTTAGATGAGATGTTCACATCCACATCAACAATAACTGCTCTGGATTTAGCAATAAAACCTTAGTGCCACCCCAGTAACTTCCAGAAATAAGTTGTTGAAGAAAACCAAAAAAAATAATAATAATAATAATAATAATAACACCAGCAGACGTTCATTAAGAGCTAGTACCAATAGCAGTGGTACCTAGCATATATTAAATGAAATCCTTCTGATCTTGGATTATAGCTTTCTGTACATCATTTAAATTCATCAAATACTGGTTGAGAGGGGCCCATATCAGGTTAAAGAATTTGAGTTTCTAATTAATAAAGAAAGGCATAGCTTTTTACCCCTGTATTATTTGACAGTATTGAGGAATGATGAAATCTTAAAGAGAAGTTAGTTGATTTACTCTGTTACAAGTGATGCTATTTTTTGCTTTTGTTATATATTATTAGGTAATTCTAGTAATGACTATATTGATACCCAAAAGTGCTATTCTGACTGGGAAAATCTCATAACAGCCCTCACAATGCACAAAAAGTTTGTTAATCAAAGGAATGCTTTTAGAGCATGTAAAGAACTGCACTTTCGATTAACGAAGAGTAAAACTGTCAACACTGAATATCAGCATATTATGGATAAGGAAATTATGTATCAGAAAGGAGTTCTAAAAAGAATTAAGCCAATAAGTAGACCATTGGGCTCCTAATGCTTAGCTTTTTGTGGAACAACTGAACGTCTGTTTCAGCCTAACAATGAAAACTTCCTAAAGTTGG